TAACGTGGTGAACGTGGCCGGAGGCTTCAGCCTGCAGCAGGACCCCACTCGGTGAGCCGGCAGTTGTGGGGCAGGTGGGCACAGGCCAGCAGGAGCTCAGGTGGCAGCCCCCCTTTCCCCAGCCTGACACCCACTTCCTGCCTTCCCAGGTTTAAGTCCGTCCACTGCCTCCTCTACCCGGACACAGACTGGTGCCCTGCATGACGGGGGCTGACCGCGGCCTCTTGGTGACCGACGAGCTCTAACCCAGGAGGTGGCTCTGGCACTTCGCAGGTGCAGGCGGGTGATGCCCCCTCCAGCCTCCGCAGTGCCACCAGTGAGACGGGCACCAGGCTGAGCGTTTGGCAGTGCAGGGACAGCATGTCCTGCCTGGGGCCAGGCTCTGGTGCCACTCGCCACCCCGAGAAGGGAAGGGAGGAGCTGCAGAGTCTGGGGGACCCGAACCTTACAGGCCACCATGGGGGCCAGCACCACTGCCACACTGCCGGAGGGGGTGCCAGGCAGGTTGAGGCCACAGGCATCCTTCTTGCAGCGGCTCCGCCCTGAGACAGTGCTCCCGCGTCCCACCCCCACCTCCGCAGCTTGAGCTGGACCATCTGCCCCCCACGGTGGGTCCCAGTGGGACAGGGTCCTTTGCCCGTGTTACTCTTGTCTCCAGGCCTCCCTGGCACGGCCCCCCTGCTTCCTGGAGTCTTGCCCAATAAACCCTTTTGAGCTCAGCAGTGACTCACTTCTGCACTCGCCAGTGGCCCCCACAACTAAGGCAGGAGGTGCAGAGGTGGAGAGCTGTAGAGGCTTCAACTGCTACGGCCAGTTGTCCGGGATCCTCACTTGTCCTCTGGGGGGCCTGCCCCCAGGGAGGGAGGCCCTTGGACAGCTCAGCCTGATCCATCCCCCCTCAGCCTTAGTCTGCTCTGGCCCCCGCTGGGGATGAGTGTGTTCCCAGCAGCCTTCAGGCCAGGTCTCTCTGTCCACTTCCTGCTTTCTCAGCTGACCTTAGTGTTGTCAGC